TCTCCCCTGAACACAACCCTGAGGTCTCCTAAGATGAAGAGTCGGGGCATCCTCTGGAAATAAAGCAGAATATAGCTCCCAAACCCCTGTGCCAGTGAAGCTGAGCTGAGCAGATGGAGCAGAAGCTAAGCCCCAAACCCTGCAGTGCAGGCTTCTGAGGGACAAGGACTGAGGGTCCCTTAAAGGGACTGAGGGCTTTCTTCACGTCCCAGCTCAGTAATTTACTACAACAGGGAAAGAGGAGATGAGAAACTGTCTCATTCTCAATGTGGGTATACATATAAAAATATATTTCTTTATATAACTCCACAAAGCAGAAAGCCTGGAACAAGGTGCCTAAACTTCCTCTCAGCAAGTTGCATTAAATTTCTGGCAAAAACAAAGAGACAAATAAAACCCCCTTAGCTGTCCCACATTTTATCTGGAGCCTGGGCTCAAACTCCAGGGGAGAATTTCACCTAGCAGCAGGGAGGCACTGCCTTAGTGGCTCTATGTTTGTATGTCTGGGCAATTAAAACTCTCCCACATAATGCCAGCATTATCTGTGATCCTTTTTGATAGATTCAGCACCATCTAATCCAGATAGTCAGGGCTCTAACATGCACCACATCTAATTTTTTAGATCATAACTTGCCAGATGTCTTCAGTATTTGACATCTCCCCAGCCAGACTGATATTGTCTGCCAGGTGCAATTTGTTGATACAGCAAAGCGTTATCTTACCCGTGTTATTTATCATCTCATTCAAAGTGATATAAAGACACCCACTTTCTTTCATTCACTTCCTCCTGAAGATTAAACACTATGGAGCAATAAGTTGCTTGCCTAACTCCTTGTTTATCTAATTCTCTCAAACAGGGAATTTCATGTGGTGTGGCATTGAACTAGGCAGTCTCCCACCTATTCCCAATAGGCTCACAATCACAATTAAGCATTTTGGCCTGAACAAGACAGAGAGAACTGTATCTCTTTGCAGTTGTATCTTAACAATAATGATTTGAAACATTTTAAATTTCTCTCTAAATCCCCAGTACTATTTCTCTCTCTTTAAAAATTCCTTTAACACATTTATGCATGAGGGCTGTGCAAGCCACTCTGAAAGAAATGTCAGAGCCACTGTGAGTTCAATTTCCTGAAACTAGAAACTCCTCTGCCTGTTACCACCTCCAGATTCATTCCCCAGAAAGGAAATGTGTGAGGTTAGAATTAATTGATACCTTCAATAGGTGAAACAAACTGCACAGCATTTGAAATCCTAGTATTAGAAACGTAAATTGCTTTTCATCAAGAGATGATACGAGAAGAACAACATGGCCTGGCCAAATTCTTAAAAAGTAAGGTAGAGGAGTAATTAGATTCCACACAACATAGGGTAAATGTGTAACAACCCTTCAAAAGGGTCACAAAGTTCTGTATTATTCCACATATTCATTAGTATTATATTATATTAGTATTAGTATTTTAGACTAGTGAATACACTTTCAAAACTGGCAGAAAACATCAATTTGGAAGGGACAGTACATCTGTTAGAGAAATGAACTCAAAATGTGTTGGGTTTTATTTGGTTGGTTGGGTTTTATCAACTAGAGAAATAGTCTAATGTTGTTGTCAAATATGCAAAGGTTAGCTAAAACTAGGGAGGTATGCTTAGGACAAAGAACAGATTTCAAAAGTTTTGACAGAGCTGTCAGTGAGAAAACATCAGGAAAATATTCTAGTGGGAAAGTCCAAAATATTGAGCAATTTTACTTCACACAAAAGCATTGTTTCCTATTTTAACACACAAAATAATTTTAAAATCTAATCTAAACAGTGATCCAACAGATTGTAGGGCACCAGCTGTAGATTTTTCATTATGTTATAGAGAACAACTTACTCAGGGAAACGTATTTTCAGGTTCATTCTTTTGAATTTCTAAGTTTACCAAAGCTTCCTTACAACAACATATTACTTCAAATTGAAAGAAAATAAAGCTAATATTAATTTGAAAGTTATCTCTAGGCTGAGAAGTGAAATGAAATTTGCAAACTTGTTTACACATTCGAGAGAGGATGGATTAGTTCCTCCCTTAGCGATTCCTAATGTCGGGAGTCAAATTGTATTTGGTGAATTTTCAGATTTGTTTGGTGTGTTTTAACTCTGCCTCAAAAGCAATCATTATAAATACATTTTAAAGGTCAAGCACACTTCTAAAGCTTAGAGGAGGGAGGATTTTGTAGGAGTGCCTACAACACTGATCTCAAAGCAGTCCAGTGACTTTCACTGGCATCTTCCTGATCACACTCGGTGGATGAGCATTAGCTGCAGGTTCTAGGCTAATTATAAACTTCCTTTTTTTTTTTTTTTTTTTTTTTTAAATTCTCTGCATGTATTTAACTCAAAAGGTACCTATGGTTTTCTCAGGAAAGGGCTGCCCCTGGAAGTAAGAGGTATGCTTAAGAGCAGTTGTATTCACACCACCTGGGTTCACAAAGTAAGAAACCAAGCACAATCTAGTCTGTGCCAGCCAGGCAACAATTCAGTCCGGCAACTTCATGCTGCCTCACTTGATGCATCTTCCTGAATACTGAAGAAAAGTATCACGATTGGATTAGCATCATGTGTACCCAGCAGGTCAAGGGATGTTATTCTCACCCTCTACTCTGCCCTGGAGAGGCCATATCTTGAGTACTGTGTCCAGGTCTGCACTCTTCAGTTCAAGAAAGACTGGCAATTCCAGAGGTAGTCGAGCAGAGGGTCACGAAGATGACAAGGGGCTTGGAGCATCCCTTATGACAAAATGTTGAGATCTGTAGGACTGTTCCATCTGGAGAAGACTGAAGGGGGATCTTACCAATGCTTATAAATACCTAATGGGCAGGAGCCAAGTGGGCGGCACCAGGCTCTTTTCAGTGGTGCCTAATGAGAAGATAAGAGGCAATAGGCACAAGCCGCATCATAGAGAGTTCCATACAAGCAACAGGAAGAAGTTTTTTACTTTGAGGGTGATAGAGCACTGGAACAAAGTGCTCGGAGAGGTCTTAGAATCTCCTTCCCTGGAGATATTCAAAATCCATCTGACCACTTTCCTGTGTAAAGAACCTGCTTTAACAAAAGCTAAGACTGGATGATTTCCAGAGATCCCTTCCAACCCCTACAACTCTGTGTGAACATAAACGAATACAAAGACAAATGTAAAGACAAAGTGTGAACTTCATGTAGCTTCATTTCACTTTGACAGCCCTTCACCATCTTTGTGCTTTTACACTGTGGACAAATTTGTTCAGTTCGCAGGATAAAACACAAGCAACCCCCGGGATGTTCTAATTTGCACTTCATTTTTCTTCTCTCTCTTCTGAGCACATGAGAACAGCTGAGGTGAACTACACTCTCCAGATACGAATTACTTTGAAGGAGCAGGAGCAAAAATTCTCTCGAGCCATTAGTGCAGTAATTAACACCTTACAGGAAAGCATATGTATTTGAACACACATGCTTCGTATTTTGATTTATTTTTCCACTGGCTAATACGGAGGGGGAAAAAAAAAACCAAAACAACAAAACCACAGAGCACTGGAAATAGAAGTACAGTGTTAAAACCAAAGAGCAGATGCTTCACATTCACTACAGCTGGATCTCTTTGCAAACACATATCCAGCACATTATATATGGCTTCTCACATCCATGCATGCCTCACCAGCTGTCTGTTTCTTTCAGCACTGTCTTTATACAAACACCAATACCATTTAAAATCTTTACATCCAGTTTAAAAATGGCATCAAATCATTCCATGACATCAGACAAATAGACTGGTCGTTCTAGCTTCCTTCAAAATCCTGCTTACACTGAACATCTGAATGCAGAAAACTATTTGACATTTGACTAACTCCTTCTTACTGTAAGCATTTGATAGTATGAAAGGACTCTATTTGCAATAGCTCTGTGCTTGCAAATGTCACTCAAGCATCATCAGTAGCCCAGCAGCAAACCACCTGGTGCCTGCCACAGTATTCTGTTTACAAGGGGAGGGAAAGGTTACATTGGGAAGTACAGCACCAGTACATTATGTGATTGTATCCTCAATCTTTGGTAAAGATTTATAGTAGCCTTTCAAAGGAAGTACTGTCAAACAGGAAACACAAAGATTCAGGAGTTTTGCCCTATATCAAGGATGTGAGATTGTCTAATATAAAAGCCTGACAGATAGCTGTAAGAAGTGAAGGTCCCCCCCAAAACATGCACACATACTTGACAGATTAATGCAAAAAACTTAAATGGTCTCCTCAGCATGTTTGTACTTCTTTCCACAGTCTAAAGATGACAGAAAGTGAAAACAGAAAAGAAAAACTTGACAGGCTTTAAGCCTTCTAAAATTTGTAGCTTGATAATCTGGCCTATGCTGTAGCTTTGCACTGAAGTAGGGACTACTGTTCCAGAAGTGGAGCCACACTTACATGTCACACTGCACTCACATTGCTCAGCATCTCTCAAGATACATAAACACCATATCAGAGGAGACTAAGGTCAAAGAAGCAGACATAAGAGTTGTCTCCCTAACAAAAGCACTGTAAAGTGACTTAATAAGAGGCACAGCAGAATCCTTCATCTGTTGCTGCTCACTGATTTCCAGATTAATGAACTGCAGTTCGCAAGCAGAAAGCTTTGTACACAACAGCCAGCTGTTGTGAGCTGACTCGGTGCTCAATACTCACAGACAGCGCAGCTATCACTAAGAGCTACAAACAGTTTTTAGAACAGCTCCATATCTCATGCCAAACACATGAAAGAAGAGAAGAATCTATTACCACTACTGAAGTTTCCATACCATATCTTGATTGCCACACAACTCCTTTTAGCAAGCTGGTTTTGTCACTTGAGTGAGTTTTGAACATATCTAAACCTGCAAGGTGAGAGCACCAAAGGACATCATAATTTCTACACATTCTCTGGAAACATGTGGTTCTAGACACTATTTTAAGCACCTGGCTCAAGTACCGCTGAAACATGAAATCATTTGCTCACCTTTTGATCCAGACTGTAGGCCAGGATCCACTCCTCCTGCTTGGGGTGAAAGAGCAGACTTTGGATATAGAAGTTCAGACGGTACTTCTGGTATGTAGCTCCTTCATCAGAGCTGATGAGAATGCTGCTCTCAATGTCTGGATCACTGAGAAGCATGATCTAAAGAGGAAAATGGAAGGAATAATGTGTGAATGGAAAAGTAAAGCTGAACGTCATTTGACAGCTCTAATTCCTATTACTCATATTCAGAACGTCGTTCCACAGTGTAAAGGGCCTACAGGATTTCCCAAATAACTTGTGTTTTCTAAATGTTTGGTTTCTATCCTGTTTGGTGATTCATCCACTGGTGAGATTGCAATTTCATTTTTTTTTTGGTCCAAAAAAATCAGAAAGTCTAAGAATGAAAATGCCATTATGATATTACTTAGATAGAGCAACTTCGGAGAGCCACATCTGGCTCTTCCTGGACGCTTTTTTAGTCTATTGCTTCCCTCCAGAAATGAGGAAATTTCTCCCCAAAAGTAAACATGGAAGTCCTGAGGTTTCAGTCTCGTTACTTGGCAGTTCACAGAGCTACAGACAAGAGTATCACTTCATTGGAAATAGAATGACTATGTGGATCATCTGCTGGCACCTGAAATTAGTCCACAGGTGTGGGTGCAAGCATTGCTTCATGACCTTATACATCACACTTCCAATCCATATATTAAGAGAAATCATGTTTTCATTCATAAAACACATAATTTTCCCCAAGTACAGGAAAGTGTATGACCTCAATTTGTACAAGGAAAAAACACCTTTGCACTTTTGATTTTAATTAGAAAATTATTAGCGATATTTTAAAATGAGTTGATTCCACATTATCAGATGCCATGCTCTATGTAAATGTTATCAAGAAAAATGTTGTGGATACATTAGCACCATCTTATTAACATCTGGAGAAAATAAAATCCCATTAAAGCAAATGCCAACACCATAAAATAAAGGCAAACAGTGGGAAATAAATTAGAGCCATGCTAAACACAGCAGGTTATTGATACACTAGCTGAAACAAATATAGAAACTGATTTTCAGCAGGAAAACAGATTCAGGAGCAGCCATTTCTAGATAGCTGTGAAATGATCAGCTAAATGAAAATGTAACAAAACTGCCTTGGATTGCATGTCCAAATAAACTCTTCTCATCCAATTTCAAGACTATGAACTTTAGATGCATGAATTTTGACAGCAATTATTACAGAAGTTAGCTAAAAGGAATATCAAAATCCTTGGTCTGTTGGACCCTGATCAAGCAAAATAAATAAATAAATAAATAAATCAGGGTTTAACTACAAATAGCTCATTAACTCTATGAAGTCACCAAGGAAATGAATATAATGCAAATCGTTTCTGATCCTTTCCATTAAGAAAAGCGCCTTTTAATCTAGAGCTGGAAGTTGTCCTAAGATGAAGCCACCTGTACGAATCCAGCTTGAGTTCACAGATCCTTCGGCACCTCTCATATTAGCAACTAGAAGCCTCACAAAGCAATCCCCACCTGCTCCCAGAGAACTGAAAATTGCTTTTGCAGAATGGAAGGCCCTAAGACTGCCAGCACAAGAAGTTATTCCAGGGAGTTGCTGCAATTAAAGAGAGGATAGTTTGGGAATAAAGATTTTTTCCACCTGATATCACAAAGATACAAAGCTAATAACGAAGATTAAAAGGTCACTATTAGCTGTCCTATGCTCCTTATTTGAGGACAGAATTCTTAATTGCACAGACCTGACGTAGTAAAGATGCAAAACATCCACTCCGCCCTTTCACACGTGATCCTCAACACACAGTTGGGAACTTCAAGAAATTGGTCAGATGAAGTGAAAAAAGCAATTTTTCCACTAGATGGAATAAACTGTTTGATTTTGTTAACCCTGGAAGCATAATAGTGGTTGCAAGATCACGCAATAAAACCTCTCAGCTAGGAAAATTAACAGTCAACCTTATTGGAAGATTAAAGGGAAAGCTAAAATAGATTAACAGATCTTGTTGCAAGTGCCATCGCATTAGTCACAAGCCATCCTCAGTCAGTGCTCGATATCAACACAGCAAAAATACTCCTCCAATGTTTCCAAATGGAAAATGGAATGACAACACACACAACAACCCTGTTAGCACTCATTCTTCCAGGAAAAAGCTGATTAAACACAAAGCAGGAGGTTCAAAGTGAGAAATAAAAGGCCACTGCTGCGAAGCAAGGACAGGTTCACAATTTTGTTCAAGAGAGTTGTGGCAAACAAGATTTGGCTTTACGTTACTATTGCTTATCTCTTCTATGCTGGAAGTTACTAGGAGGTGATGGGAAAACTTCTGGAAGGGGAAACAGCAGATATTTGTCAAAGGCCCAAAACTGTCACTTCTCATTATGGAAACAAGGAGAAGGATCTGCCCCATGTGAGATTTAGATTAATTGCTTTTCATTAAGAGCCAATAAACAAACTCCGGTCAGAATGAGCATTTCTGCCAGCACCCTGTGTTGCCATTTATAATTGCCATAAGGAAGAGCAAAGGAGTACCAGAGAGTTGTCAAATGTAATTTATAGGTTTCTAAGACCTAATATTTTCTATAGTATTAAATTGCAGCCTTTATTAAAAAGGAAACTACATTTCAACTGCCATATTATAGAATATATACATACAAACACATATAAAATGTATTCTAATATATAAATCAGCGCTATCTTCAGTTGCTGTCTTCTCCAGTTTTAACTGAGAGGTGGTGGGGAGGCAGGACAGGTGAAGGGGAAGTCCTTGAAAATATATTTGAGATGAGAAGGTTTATACTACATAGGACTTCCTCTGCAGCTTGTAGCTTGGCCTCCAAAATTCAGTGAGCAATGGCAAGCACCAGACAAAACAAATCAGACCAAAAAATCAGCCTGAACTTCAGGTAGCACCATAGGAAATGAAAGCCACAGGAGAGAGCTGCCTGGCATGTGATATGTCTCTGTTTAAAGCAGGAGCTCAGAGAACATAAAGAGCTATCCTGAATGAACTCCAGAACAACAGGCACTGGCAGAGAAAGTGCAAAAAAGTTATATTCTTCAGGTAAACTACCTTGCCTGAACAACAAAAACTGCACTAAGACTTTCAGCACATAATCAGGAGAAACATCCTGCTCTGAATCCATGAAGGGGATTTATCCCAGGAAATGAACGTGGGCTGCAGGCAGAAAGAACAAGATAGGGAGAGGGTCATACTTAATACTTGCCATGCTATATTTGGTTCTGAAATTACAGAATTAGCTAAGAGCCACTGATGTTCACCAGGGACATGTAAGACTCAAAGGAGATGTGAATGAATTCCAAAGTGGACATGAAGTGAGGCCACATCACAAATCCACTACATGGGAATGCCCATTAATGCAGCTGATACAATAAAAACTAAGGCAAGATTTGTAACTAGAGGTTCCCACTACTCTGATTAAAATTCCAGCTGCATCATTGGGTTAACACAAACATCTTCCTCAGGCCTGATTTCACACAGATGGTGTCACACTCTTCATCCTCTGCTCCAACCTCACCAGGCACAAAACAGCTGTGACCTGGAATACTGAACCACACTATTAATGAGCTAGTACATTTCTGATGGGTACAACGCTGCAATGAGCCCAGACTACTGGCTTGGAGTTACAAGTAGCCTGAGCTCGTATGTAAATTTGTCTACCATAACTATGCTTTACACTTCCCTATAGCTTGGCACTCAGTTCTTCTCCCAGCACCTTTCATTGCTCTGTCCTCACTCTAAAGTCCTGCTCAGCACATCACCCCCAACCCTTCATCACGTTACGTTATAGGCAAATATCTGCAGCAATAGTGTCACTGCGTTACGTTAGCAGGAAGCCTTCCAGTAAGTGAACAAAGAGGACAGATTCAAAATAAATGACTTTTGTTCCCAGAAATAAGTAGATATCATTAAAACATTATGTACTGCCTCCTGAATTTCCTCTGCACTTCCAGCGCGCTTTTGTGGTTCTTTCCATAGCTCCTAGTCAAATTCTCATTTCCCTATTGAAAGTGCTATTATGAAGAGAAATAAATACAACAGACCAAAAAAAAAGTCCACCTACAAACCACTCAAGTCTCCATAGCTACAAAAGAATCCCAGGTCCATAGCACTGCATTAGCCACTTGCCTTGGAGCACTGCCTTGCCCAATTCTGTGACTCAGAAAGTAGTTCTGTTTTTGCAGTGTTGTTTGCGGCAGGAACTCCAGGTTTCCTGTTCAGATTTCACAACTTCATAGTGAATTCTATACTGAATGTTTTAGCTTTTTATCGTTTTGAAGAAACGCTTAGACCCTCAGTTCCTAAGTACACTGAATCTTTTCAAAGCCAGGCAGAGGATTTTCTGTAGACATGGCTTTATCTACAGCAACAACAGGAAAACACAACTTTATTGTTTTGAAGCTTTTTTTTAATCTTTGCTCTCCTATTTTGATTCAAACCATATTAGCTTTGTGTTTAAAAAGCTGCAAAGCTTCAATAGCTTATGCTGAAATGTCAGTGCAAAAGGAGAATTGATGTATTTTTGGACTTACGATGTCCATTACACTTTCTGAAATCAAAAAATAAATACATTTGAAATTATGTTTATAGGTGCAAAGAAATAATTTTATTCCTGCAGAACATCAGTTCACCACACATATGCAGTGTGAACAATTTGGAAATTTTTAAATGAGAAAACTGGTCTAAAATGCTTCAGTGACATTAAAGTCTGACCATATGAAAAGCCTCACTGGAAAGTTTTGGTAGCCCATTCCTCTCTTATCCTTTTTCCCTCCCTCCTATATTATTACTTCAATTTACTTGTGCAGCATGCTAAATGTCCACAGAGATATATATATATGTATACACACAACTATCTTTAGAACATAGCTACAAAGCATACCTGATGCCCTTTTATGCCTATACCATGGAGAACAAATGAAACTCACTGCAAACAAAATCTCATCTTTCTTTCCTCGCCATGTTACCATTCAATTGAAAAACTTCAGTTTAATTAAATTAGGCTATATGCCTCTAACACAAAAACACACACCAATACCTGCTTCTTACCAGAAAACGTGACACACATAAATAAGTGTTTAAAAAAAAAAATCACAAAAAAACTCGCATTACTGTGGA